CAATGATGCACCAATTCATTTTTAAAAGTTACTTTTTAAGGGCAAACTGGTAAGGAATGGTAAGGAGCAATGGTGAAGTGGAGGGGGGTCTTGCATGACCTTTATAGGCAAAAGCAGCGTGATTTAAGAACTCGGTGTTACGACTTATGAACAGCCTTGTGGTGCACCCTAAGTGAATGGTATGAAAAACATGAAGAGGCACTCCACCTTTTAATCTATATACTTATCAATTATAATAAAAACAAAATAATAACACTGACAGGACCGATATCAATGATTATCATTACCATTCCCAAGCTGATCCTTAAATTCCATACAGCATTTTGAATCAAACAAAGGTTACATGGTTAATTACAGGAAGTATGATTAAATATTAAAAGTATGTATTGGCCAGATGATGAAATAAAATGCGTAATGGACAAAGGACAACACTTCTCGGAAATCTTGGAATTACTTTCTTTATTTGAAGTGTCCTCTCCCTTGCAGGGTTGACACTTCGGCCACAAAATACCTTAAAATAAGGTAAGTATTTTAACAAACTTTTTCTAATCATATTCCTAAAACAATGCTTATAAAGCCAGGAACTATAAATCATTTATTAGCACTGGTTTAATCAAAACACCAATATCACCTGCATAAGTACACCAGCCACTGTCCAAGAAATGCATCAAGACAAATCATTCTAAAACTGCTTCACTGATATGGACCTAGTAATCTGATGAATAATGGATGATCCTTCAACAAAGATACAATTATTGTCCTATTATGGTCTCTGTTGCTTGCATAATTCCTCTATTTGAGCTTATAATCATAGTCAGTGGAAAACAAGAAGGAAACAAGAAGAAATATATGCACCTTTCTAATAGGATGGGTGCTGGAAAATGCCAAATATGTACCATAATGAGTACATTCATAACAGATAATCACTGGAACAGAATATAGTGTTAAAGCACATCCATATCAAAACTCATATGACTGCAGACATTAAAATCAATCCAACTACAAGATTCTGTGTACAAAAAATGCATTACAATACCCAACAAGTATCATAATCAAATATGACATCCCAGAGGAAAAGTTTGCTTCCTTCATATATTTAATATATAAATAAGAGATGAGTTAATGGAGAGCAAAAGTAAATTCCTGTTTCTTTTACATACACCTATATAATAATCCAGAAATATAAATATTGCAAATACACCAGTTAAAATTAAGTATAAAATGAGCCTTTCACAGAAATGTTATGGACCTTACTTTCATTGTTTGTCATATTTTCTTCAAGTGGCATTTATTATGCTAACTTCTGCACCAGACTTTGTAACATTTGTATTTGCACATATTCATTGCTTGTTTCTGCTTGTGCATGATCTAAAACAAAGATGATTCCTAAAGAACAAATGCACACACATGCACACATGCACAAACACACATTTACCCACCCACCTAACCACATCCACACACGTACACATGTATTGACGCACCCACACAAAAATGCAGAAACACTCGCTAACTTCTCAACCATGAACATATTTGATGAATATATAAAATGAATATCTATGAGGTAATGAATGTGAATAATCAGTGTCTTTTGTGCATCAATTCAGCAAGCCAAACTAACTGATCTTATTTTTTTCTAATTGAGCACCATCAGCTTAAAAACAAAACAAGTTGTTGATCTAGCAAACTACTGAAAATGATGACATCACTTAAACTTGTACAGCATACAATCATTCAGTAGTTAAAGACAAACAAAAAACATTATAATCTTATAAAGAAAAAAAGTGGGAGGGAGGTATTATCAAACTGCCATTTTTTTTAATGAACATCTACTGTACTTTTTATAATAATAGGCTTTCAAATCCAACAACAGTTCTTTGTTTAGCTTTCAATTCATTTCAGAGATTGAATTCTTTTGGCTTTCACATACATCGAAAGTATTCTGGTACCAATGATCTGAATAAATTATGCTTTAACAAGTATATGGAAGGAGAAGGAATGAAAAGAAAATATAATACTTCAATATTTCTGTAAGTAAATAAATGCCCCTTTCATATTCCAATAAAACTTTGATAATAAAGTATTTAACACCATGCATACCTTATATAAACTACTATTACTACATATACTACCAGTACTATGAAATGTCAAAAAATAAGGAAAGAAAATCATTTGTAGTTCAACTGGCATTCAACTTCTTTCACTGCTGAAAAAGTGTGTGTGTGTGTGTATGTATGTATGTATGTATGTATATATATATATATATATAAGAATATATATATATATATATATATATATATATATATATATATATATATATATATATATATATATATATATATATATATATATATATATATATATATATATACATTCATTCATTTACTTGTGACAATGAAAATGTACTTTCCATAAAACTATACCTAGCTCTCACTTCAAAATTCTCTCTTCATATCCCAATAGCATCCAGACACTGTTCATAGTAATAACAGTTAACCTTGAT